CACGTCCAAATGGAAAATAGTTACTGTTGTAATTGGGTGAAAGACAGCTTTTGATAATCATGTTTTATTTTTATACAATCGTACTCTATAGTATCTCGCGCTTGACTGGCGCCTTTTCCTAAAACAGTTGAAAGTAACTATTACAATGGGTGCCCACTGATGGCGTCGTTGTTCCGGAGTTAATATAATCGATTTTTCCTTATCGATTTCGCCACAGTTACTAACTCTTATAATAAGCGATACCTGAGACGATTCCACTATGAACTACTGGTAAACAGTGAAAATCAATGTTGTTAAGATTAAGTAAACTTTACACAGTTTTCTTCGTTACCAAGTACCTTTATTATAGATACAATATACAGGAGTTCCAGGTAGACTGGGTACAGAGTGACTGACTTGATGCGTCGGGCAGTGCCTCGTAAAAACAAAAGAAGTAACACTTTTAGCTCTAGTACTCATCGATAGATAGCGTCGTAGGCTTGAAATTATTACATTTCCTACAAATATTTTACGGGATTCGCGACCATATTTGAAGGTGGGATCTTCCCCACGGTTGTTGATGCCAGCTGTTCGCTAGTATCCTCGATGTGCCGGTGGTGCTAGAAAGGACAAGAGGAAAAAGAAGGGATGCGTTTCAACCCGGGCCTGCTAGTGGACTCATCGGTAAGGCTACCCTAGCAGGCCAATTTTTTCTTTCAATTTAACATACGTTTCATGCGCCAGAAACTAGATACAATAATATACATATAAAGGAACCAAAACGCGCAAAAGGGTTACAAATGAAAACTTAGATTATGAGATCGATGGCTTCAACGTGAAGCACTCGCAAGCTGTAATCAAACTTAATCTACCGAGTTTATTGCTATAGGATAATATAAACTAAAGAACTATCTTATATTAGCATACGTGTTTGCCTGTGTATAGAAAGGCACGGAAATTATACGGATTTTGGTTTTAAGTGGGTAAGGTACAGGGGGCAGACTGGATAAATAAATAGGTGGTGAGGAGGATGAGGGAGGAGGAGGTAGATGGGGTACACGTATTTTAATTTAGACTATATTATACATTACTAGTAAGTATGAGCAATCTGATGTTGGATGACTAACGATTCGTTGGCCTTTAGTCACAAGAAGGGCCTTGTTGATAAACGCAGACCAATTTCAGAGTTCAAAGATAATTGACTCATTCCTACTTGCACCAAGGGCCAATGATCATCTTCACTCCACCAAAAACTAACATTATATAAGCACCCACAAAATTTGCGAAAAGTCAGCTTCAATTTCAGTTTCAGTTTCACTCCAGTTCCGGTTTCAGTTTCAGTTTTCAGTTTTAGTATTTTTCTCTCCGCCGACTTGTATTTTTCCAGAGTAGCCTTGTTGCTAGAACCCGTATTGTATATTGAAATCCGGGTTCCAACACTGAAAATTACGAAAAACAAAGTGAAAATTATTAAGTGAAAGAGATAAAGGGGGAAAATAAAACGAAAATTTATCCTTTCCCTGTCGGGGATACTAGTCGCCGTACTAAGGAGGATTTCGTGTTAGGTTTCATTTATTTATTGGTACATGATTAATTACAATGTTTCTTAACAATTATATACAAGTTAATTTTAACGCGTATCGAGCCACCAATATTTCTTTGTGTTTCCACGATTCGAATATTCCCGATTTATTTCAGTCAATTTTGATTTAATTTTTGACGCGTTGTCACGAATATCGTCTGTATTATACGAAATTTCCGTGTTGCCTGCTTTCCCTAGACACACACCTTAGATCCATCTCTGCTTTTTATTAGGAGGTGCTTGAGTCATTAGTGTTCTAAATTATGCAATACCTTCTTTTTCATATTTTTAAACAGTGTTACAAATTAGGACTACCCTAACAGGCCTGGCTTAGACGAGGATACTATTGAAAGGTCTGGAAGTTATATGTATAGAAAGCGGAGGTTTTTAGAGGACTCGCGAGAGTTCTCTATTTTCCTTGAAGTTGGGATCCATGTAGTAGCGAGGGTGAGAATGATGGTCATTAAATATTCTATCTACATTCCTCGTTTTTCCGTCACATCGAGACATTTCCGTGACATCGTCTTCCTTCAGTACACCCAAAAAATCTAAATCGGCGATCGACGAACACGTGTACGAAGAGAAGAATTTAGAACATTGTATACAGTCGAAGAAGAATTTTGCTGAATTTGATCTTTCGACTTATTCTTTGCCCACTGATATAAATACCTATTAAGATCAGGAATACAACATACCTTTCAATATCACTGTATTCTCTAAATTTAGTTGTTATAAGAGGCCATCACCTAAATTAATTTCATTCCTTTTGGTCTGCCTAAGCCATCTCCATTTTCTGAATCCTCACTTGACCCTAAAAGATTTCTATCTTGTATGCTATACCTTTAGCTGACCTAGAATACAATACTCATATCATAACATTTGCATTGCTGCATCAATATTTTCCCGCTATAAAATATAAGTCCTGACAACTAATGACCCAATGTTGGTAATATTCCATGCATCCATTCCGAACAATACATACTTGCCATGCACACACTTAATCACTCTATCCATGTACGCCAAGTACGGCATAATCTCTTGGACGCACCGACATTACATGGACACCACATACATTTCCCCAAAGTCCCCCTTTAGCTACTCCGAGTCATCCGTACATTCTCCCGAAAACGCAGTTTCCACACTCCTACCAGCCACACAACTACTGCTGCCCTTGCAGGATCATTCTCACACACATACACCTGCCAATCTCTCGGTAAGCCACACACTCTATCGCGAGAGACGTACAGTTCCTGTAACAGAGCAACAGCAACATCATTCATACCCATCACTTTCCCCAAATCACTCAGAACCCCATACGCTCGCTGACAGTTACCCTGGATCACACTGTGGCGCGTATCAGTCATTGCTTCTACGCGCCTCTTCTCTCTTTCGTACAACCTAACATACTCCGGACACTCCACGGACAGAACCGAGTTCCTAGTATCCTATCTTCTGATTTTACAGTTTCTGCAGACACTGTCTTTCTTCGGACATTTTTCCCGCAGATGTCCACTTTCGCCACATTTCTGGCATAAGCGCTCTTTCGTTGAACATTCCCTCATCATATGTTCGAACGCAAGACACTGATAACAGCGTAACACATTCACCCACTCTCTCACCTTACAACAACTCCATTTTACATATACACGACCAGTCCTCGATAAGAGATATCACATATACTCCGCGTTACTTCTACAATAACGTTCCCAACATTCATTCCTTTCCTGTTCATTCGACTGACAACACGCACTCCCTCTTTAAACTCACTCGCACTCACTCCCTCATTCTTTAAATTCTTTCCATACAACTCATTCATCAACTCATCCCCAGTCATCTCATTCGCTACATCAAAAATCACCACCTTCGGACCTATTTTCTGCGGTGGCTTTACTTTTAGGCCAATTTCCTCAAACTTCTTGCATGACTTAAGTACATTCAAATCGCGCTCGGTAGCAGCCTCAATAGCGAGGCCACCACTCCGCGTCTTCCTTACAGCGTTCACTCTCACATTTACACTTTCACTAACATTCTTCACGATCTTTTGTTTAACTTCCACACTGGTCATCTTCACGCTTTCATCCCTTGGCTTAAGAATCATCGCATATGATCGCTCAGGCACACTTTTCATTCCAGCCACGCTCGCGAAGCTTGGCCGTACACTGGCACAATCATCCTTCTCCATTCGCTTCTCACACTCTTCGAGCCGTTCTCGCAAACGCTCATTCTTCCCAATCAACTTCATCATCATATCCTCCTTCTCAGACACACAACTTAGCACATATTCACCCACACCCTTCGACTTGCGATTACCTTGCATAATCACACTTTTTCAACTGATCTCCAATAGCACCCTTTAAGGGTGACGCTCTTACACTCAAGGTGTAGCCAGATGCCCTGAGGGGGTCGCTAGCAGGCTGGTGCACCCATCAGCCACTTCCCCGTGCATTCGATGACAGGGTGGTACCCCAGGGCCGCGCACCATAGCCCTGGGGATTAAGGAATTTTTATAGAGGTTATCATCCTCGCGATCTAGCCGATTAAGGCCCCCGTTTCTGCGAAACATGATCACAGGCTTACGGTATGCGCGTGACTAGTACTATGCGTCGTTAAGCCCGTACTACGGCCGATCAAGTTCGACCGCAGCCCCTACGGGGGGTTCACGTAGGTCAGCGAGACCTCGTATGATAGCAGTATTTCACCAATCACACGTGTGAGTTGATGTTTTGTTGATCGGACTGCAGCTTCACACAATCCGCCAAAGTGTGGTAATCGGGGCGGAATGAAGTGCCATGTGACCCCTTCACTCGCAAGTGCCGATGCTATGATGGTATGGTAGCTTTGTGATCTCGCGAACGTATTAAGTTCCCTTATTATTTTATTGGCACCGGTGAAATTGGTGGCATTGTAGATGTCACAGCATCGGCCTCTCCTCGTCATGAATCGCCGTAGAGCTGCTAGGAAAGCCTCGGTAGTTAGATCGCCCACGATTTCTATGTGGACGGCCCGTGTTGCAAAGCACACAAATATTGTTAAGTAGATCTTAACTTTATTACAGTTTCGGTGGGTTTTCTCTTTGATGTGGATCGGACCACAATAATCTATGGCAGAATGCAGAAAGGGTCTTGGCTTGTGTGACTTGTGAGGTTCGCACCTTACACACCGATGAATAGTTTTTCGAATAAGATTCCTTCCGCCGGGTATCCAAAATCTTTGTCGCACGCTGTTCAGGATAGCTTGCATGCCTACGTGCAAATTGTTAATGTAGTGCTCGCGTACGACTAATTGAGTGACATGCTCGTTCCGCAGTAAAATCATCGGATGCTTCATGTCAGATTTTAAATTCACCTTCGATAGTCTATCACCGACGCCTAATATTCCTTCCTTGCCTACGAATAGGGCTAACGCCGTCAATGTGATGGTGCTTCTTTCGGCCGGACACGGCGAGCATTTCTTTCCGGTAGTCCCGTTGTTTGATGAATTTTACGACGAGTTGTTTCGCCCTGCGCAGTTCCGCGGACGTCAGTTTCTTGTTCGGGGATTCCTTCCGTGAGCTGATGAATCGGAAGCGTAACAAATATGCTGTAATTCGTTTGAGTTTGGTGAAAGAGGAAAATTTTTCGAAGAGATCAAAGTCGTTGGTTGTAGCGTTTAGTGCAACGAGTGGCCGTTGCTCCGGGATTTCTGTTACCGGATCTAGCTGAACTCGGAGCCAGTCTGCATCTGACTCCTTTAGTCATGCGGGACCGTGAAACCAAAGTTTGCTGCTTGTCAGAGTTATCGCCTTGTAACCGCGTGATATCAAATCTGCCGGGTTATCCGCAGATCGCATGTGGCGCCATTCGTGATCCTCAGTGATACTTTGAATGTCCGCGATTCGATGCGATACGAATGTTTTTATCTGATGCGGGGAAACGCGTATCCAATGTAACACTATTGTGGAGTCCGACCAAAATATGTTTTTTGGAAGGACAATCTCCGTAGTGCACTTGAAACGGTTTGGTGTAATTTCGCCAGTAAATGAGCTGCACACAACTTTAATCGAGGCAACGTGATCGTTTTTACGGGGGGCTACCCTTGATTTTGGCGCTACTAATTGCACCGATGTGCATCCATTTTTGAATATTGAATTCCTAAATATTTGGTTCCCTGTAGATATCTTAAAATATATTTTACATTAATCATATCTTGGCTTGATGGATTTTCTATGAATCTACTCACATAATTGACCGCAAACGATATGACCGGACGTGTTTTAGTTGATAAGTATTGCACGCTGCCTATCAATTCTCTGTAAGGAAATGATTTTTCAGATTTTGTTACCTTTGTGTCTGCATCAGTGCCTGTACATGTTGATACCTGCTTTGAATTTTCCATGCAATAATCATTGAATAAAGATATTATATAGTTCATTTGACTTAATTGTATCTTATAATTATTATTTTTTATACTTATACCTAGAAAACTATCGAAAGTATTATAAATTTTTACTTCAAACTCTCTAGTCAGTTGCTCTTTTACATTATTCAATTCATTGATACTTTTAGTTATTATTATCTCATCGTCAACATACATAGCTAAAATTGTTAATTCGTTTTTTGAGTTGAATATACATTGATTAGAAGGAAGGGATACAAACTTATTTTGTTTCAGGAAATTTTTAAAACGCTGGTTCCATTTCAAAGGTGCTTGCTTGAGACCGTAAATAGTCTTTCGAAATTTAAAAATTTTATTTTTATTTTCGAACCCATCTGGCAATTGTATATAAAGATCCTCGTCTAATTCCCCATATAAGAGCACGGTTTTAATGTCAAATTTTATCATATTATATTTTTCTTGTACGGACAGGGCCACAATAAGCCTAAGAGTACCGATAGAAAGCACTGGACTATAAGTTTCCTCATAGTCGATGCCTCTTTGTTCTTCACACCCGCGTGCTACTAAACGAGCTTCGTATTTTCCATCGTCTTTCACCTTAAAGATCCATTTGGTGCTTAAAATCCTTTTATTTCTTGCCGTATCTGAATCTATTTCGATCCATGTTTCATTTGATTTTAGAGTTCTTTTCTTCTTCTATTGCTTCTTTCCATTTTTGTGAATCTTCTCCTCCAATTGCTTCTTTGTATGTAAGATGTTACATTCTTTGTATGTAAGTGTAGTAAGACGTAGCCACTATACCTTTCTGTACATTTTCTTTCTCCCGTTCCTCTTCTTACTATTGTATTGGTGTTGTTTTCAGTGTCTACCTATATTCCTTCAGTGTTTACTGTGTCATTTATTCTTTGTGAGTTTATTTCTTCCTCTGTTTGTATAGTATCTTCTTCTTCGATGGTATTTTGTTCTTCTTCTCTTCTCTCTTGACGTAATTTTAATGTAGCTTTTGATAAATTTGGTTCACTATGTTCCTTTTCATTTCCGTTGATATTTCAAAAAATAACATCTCCTGGGATTATTATTTTCTTTCTTTCTTCGTCCCAGAGTCTATAGCCACACGTAGAATACCCTGTAGATATGAACTTTTTACTCCTTTTATCTAGTTTTCGTTTATATCCTAAGTCTTTTGCATATGCTTCGCAACCAAAAATTTGTAGATTTGTGAGATCAGGCCTTTTGCCTAACCAATTTTTTACTGGCGTCTTTACAGGTGCAATTGTCGGACTTCTGTTTACTAAATATACCGCCGTGCGTACCGCTTCACCCCACAGTTTTCCGTTAATTGCTGCGTCTATTAGTAAAGCCCTTGTTTTATCTAATATTGTGCGGTTTAGCCTTTCGGCTTTACCATTGAGTCGAGGTGAGTATGGGACCGTGAAATCCAGAATTATCCCCTTGTTTTTACACCATTTTACGAGATCTCCGTTTGCATACTCTTTCCCATTATCACACCGCAGTTTCGAGACCTTTCAATTCCATTTTGCTGCGCACTGATTTGTGTAGGATTTTAGAGTATCGCTTACCTCGTAGTTTCCTTGTATCGGAAAGACGGCCGCAAAATGTGTATAATCATCGAGCACAGTTACAAAATACTTCATCCCGTTCCACGTAGCTGGTTCTATCGGATCACATACGTCAGAATGCAAAATTTCTAGAGGTCTAGTAGCTTTCGTTATTTCCTCCCCAAACGGTTTTCTTATTTGTTTTGCTTCTATGCAAACGGTACATATTTCTTCGTTGTTAAGATGTTTAGGTGTTAAATTTATTCCCTCGCTAAGGTTGATTAATCTTTTTATATTTACAAGACTCAAGCGTCCTAATTTTCGATGCCAATTGGTGACAATTTCGATAGTTGCTAATAAGCTTTCTATTTTACTGGGTTTTTTCATATCAATCACATATATCCCGTTTTCTCTTCGCGAGCCTTCTAGAATTTTTACATCATTTTTTAGAATTTCAACTTTATTTTTAGTGAACTTTACCACTTCGTAGTTTTGTGCGACTGCATCTACTGATAATAAGTTCTTGCTTAGTTCTGAAATCAATACATCTTTTAGTATGCAATTTTCGACCTCTACATCACCTATTACTTCGCCTTTCATTTTTATTGACCATTTCGCTGTTCCTATTTCAATGCTTACAGGTTTTTTCTTGTCTAATAACTGGATATCATTAACCATATGGTTCGAGCCTCCCGAATCTACTATCCAGCCGTTTTGTTGTATATTACCTGCTAAGAAACAGACCTTGTCATCTGTAGATTTCTTTGTAAAGATAGTCTTACTTTTCCGGAAATAGCAATTTCTTTCAACGTGATTCGTCTTTTTACATATGTTACATCTTTGCTCATCTCTTGAATAGTTCGTTTTGTTCAAGTGAGACTCCTTATTTCCAGTTCTGTAGTTGTTAGGTTCGGACGGATCGGCTCTGCAAAATTTTGCTATGTGGATAGTACCGTTGCATTTAAAGCATTTCTTTATCGTTGACTTGAAAGCTAATAGTTCTTCTTGATTTTCGTGTTTATTTAGTCTTTGTTCTTCAGCTTGTAGTCTAGTTATTAAGTTTGTTAACGTGTTTTCTTGTATTGGCGTAAATTCCCACGCACAAACAAAGTATTTGAACTGGCTCGATAAAGTAATAAGTATTTTTGTAATTAACATTGTATCATCTATCGGTTGGTTTAATGCGTTTCATCTATATGATAGATTTTCAAGGGTACTCACGTGTGACTCGATATCGCTTCCTTTTTCAAATGTATAATTGTAACATTCTGAAAGGACAGAGCATTTCTTTTGTTCAGTATCCTTTCCATATATGTCTGCTAGCTTGTCCATCTGCTCTGATGTTGCGTTTAGTAAATACATCTGCGGTTTTCGATCGGTTGAGGTGATAACTATTTTTTGAGCATTGGCGTCCTTGTGCTCTCATTCCGACTTTCTTTTGTCACTCCAATCTTCTTTAGGCATTTCTTTACCGGCTGTTATATTTTGAATATCAATTGATTTGAATAAAATTGTTATTTGGAACTTCCAAATTTGGAAATTTGACTCAGCTTTTAATTTTTTGATTTGTAACGTGCCGATGATTCGTCGATAAACAAGCACAGGACGTTACCGACTTACAGTTGAATAAATATTCGTGTTTCCTCACAAGGCCGATGCGTCGAAGACCACCCGGAGCTTTGTGGTCAGGCTCGATTGTTTTGTTACGACATGGTGTGGTAAGTGATATCCGCGCTTGATCGATGAATCCGTCGCTAGCGACATGTTACCTAACGCCGGATATTCGTTTAGGAAGTTTTCGTAGCTATGTCGGAAGTCCGGATTTTTACTCAACTTTTGTTCCAATGCGTAGAATGGCTTGCGTGCCAATGAATAAGATTCGCCGAGATGTATCGCATTATCCTTGAATGGCAGGCGAACTGAGTACCTGCCGGTCACGGGGTCCCGTTTTGTCTATGCCTTGAAGTGCGCCTTACATGCTCTGCTCTCTGCTGACATTAAAGAGGTCGAAAAGATTCTTCGCCGTTCCAACAAGTTCCACGCAACCGAATAATTCGCACCGGTTGTTTCCGAGGATTCTATTTTTTCGGCAGCCTTCCCGGTCAAACATGACCGCAAATATATCAGCTTCTGCGCATCGCGGAAGTGTGCGTTGTCATGCACCGCGGCCTTAAACGCGTCACAGACACTCGGCCATTCTTCGTAGGACCCACTGAAAGTTGGCAACTGCATAGTCGGCAGCTTGACTTGCGGCTCTGCGAATATCGTGAACGGTGATGCTGAATTTACCGTTGTTTCATGATTAATCAGCTGCGGCTCCGCGTTTCGCGAGTCGAATTTAGCGATAATGTTTTTGACGCGAGACAGATTGAGTAGATACGTGTCGTCGAGTTC